AGCTTTTGTTTTTAATGTGGGTTCTTTTTGTCAATATTTACATTATAAATTAGAGTGGAGACATTTTCAGGTAATGAATTTATTTAACAAGTCAAATGTTGACTAAATGAATTTTGTTTTTATGAAAAGTGATCATTTCTCAAAACAAAATTTTGTGAGTGGCATTGTTTTACATTTTTACAAATTAGTGTCATATCTCGGTATTAGAAGACAGAGGGAATCTTCGATTTGCTTCTCTGTATAATTTTGTTTATCTCTGGAAAATTCCATTGACGTGTGGGATAATGAGAATGAAATAGTAAAACCTTAGTTTGTTATGAGAATAGTTTTGACTTTATAAGCCTCTTAGGAACCCCAGGGTCCCCCAACCACACTTTCAGAATGGCTGCTATGAAGTACATCTTCAGCTATATTGATTTTTGTTCTGTTATTTGTTTTAGGTTTTTATCCAATGTGATTTGAATGTGAACTTCAGCAATTCAATGTATTGGTTAGCTAAGACTTCAAAGACTAGTGAGGTTGTTAAAAAAGACCACGTTATTTTTCTTCAAATTACATGAAACAACAGCAGCAATGCTCCAAAATTCTATTTGCACTATTTTTTAAATGATTTTTTAAAAGCTGCTGCTAAATTGGTTGAGTGTGAAATTATTTTGGATTTTTCTTGCAAAACTAATGAGGAGCAAACTCTTGGACACGGAAAATTTGAGTGTGAGAACCAGGTAAAGAAAGCCGTGGTCCTCAAAGTATGGCGTTTTTCAGATGCATCCCGATTTATTCCAGAGCAGAGACGCCATCGGCTGGTACCTCCAGGCTTGATGTGGTCAGAACTTCTGTCCGCCCATCTGCCGGTCCGCTGGTCCAAAGCTGTCTCTGAGGGCTTGCTCTGAGCTGTCCAGTCTCACTGCTGTGCAGTGGGGTCGTGGCTGTCCTTTCCTCTGAGGGTCTTTTCTATCTCGCCTCCTCCTTCCTCATGTGGAGAACTTGGAAACTCAGAGTGAGACACTTGCATCTAGGAAGTGGATTAGGGAAAGGCCCAGCATGAGAATTAATTTGAATAAGTCAAATTGAACACTTTTTGGACCTGCATTGCCTGGGGATCTCATTATTTTATAATTTCTTTCATGTTTATGAAGTGTGGAATTAGTCATAGTAGATAGTTCTGCGCAAAGCATGAAAAAAAAATCCTCCCAGGATGGCTCCCAGGGGCTGAGTGTGGATGTCTGTGAAGCATAAAAACATTGTTTTCTACCTCCCGAATAATGGATTAGATGCCATGGATGCATCATATTTATTTTATTATATTCTGTAAAAAAAAGTGAAACTTTTTCCGCCCTGAAGTGGCCGTGGTGAATGGCAGTGGACACTTGGTTCTCTGAAAGCTTCCTTGCAACTATGCTGAGGATTTATGGTTTGGCAACAGCCCTTTTAGCAGCAACAAGCATTCTAGAATCCTCTGGAAATGCCAGAAGGTGTCAGCAGCTCAGACTGTTGCAGAAAGCAAGAGTGCGCTCCCGCTGCTCAGCCTCAGTCCTGGGCCCGGCTCGGTGGCTGACAGGACATGGCCTCCAAGTAGCCTCCTCCACTCTCTGTGGAGCCGGAAAACCCTGGTCTTTGAGCCCGAAGCAGAGAATCCATTTACCATCTTTCCACCAGACTTCTCCCACTTGTCTGCTCTGCGCTGCTCCTGCTGCTTGATCAACAGCATTGCTAAGAAACAGGCTTCTTTGGTACACGGGACCGGTGCCTGTTAGCATCAGGGGTGTGTGTGTGTGTGTGTGTGTGTGTGTGCACAGCAAAGATATGTTGTCCTGGAAGAGATGATATGTGGAATTATGGAAAGAACTGGAAAAGAAGGAACGGAGGAAGCAGCCTCCCTGAGGTCTGGGGGTGACGGTGCCCATGAGGCTGGTGTGGGGAGTCACGTGACTGGGCTGAGGGGGGCTTTGGAGCAGATTGGTGGGTGCTAAGGCCAGCCAGGCTGGCAGGGATGTCTTTGCTTGACATCCAAGGGGGGTGAGCCAGAGCTCAGTGCGAAGGTCCTGGCACACTCGTAGGCCACGCAGAGCAGGCGCCTTCTGACTGGTGCTTTGGAAGGGCCCCTGGGGAGGGAGGGTCTTAGTGAGAAGTGGAGGCAAAGGGGGTCACTGGCCTCGCATGCAGTTTGGGAGCACCAGAGAGGAGTCTCGGTCACACCCGTAGTTAATTTGTTTTTTCCGTGGTGCCCGAAATTCCTCCTCCTTCTGCACCCCCATAATTTTTTTTTAAGATTTATTTATTTATTCATACAGAACTGGGGTACAGGCCAGAGATGTGGAGTATGAGAGGATTCACCAGGGACAAAGTGAGGAGCAGAACAGGCTGATCGATGAAGTACACTGCTGAGGGGAGCAGCGGGCGGGTCAGGAGAGGTCTGCCGCGCCATGTGGTCACCTCCGGGGTGGGGATCGAACTCCTGCTGAGGTGGCTTTAGCTTCTCAGTGCAGTGCTGTAACCAGGTGCACCACCGGGGAGCCCCCCCACCCCCATAATTTAAGGTGAAGAATGGAGATCTTTCAGGGAAAGCTGGATGGAGACTGTGGCCTCTTCCCTAAGCACATTGGGTTGCCACTGGATAACTGCCCCCTTGCTGTCTTAGTGGAAGGTCAGCGCTGAGGACGAGCTGGGAGCTCCTCCCAGGCCAGCACAGCCCCGGGCACAGGTGACGGGAGCATCGAAGAGGCCAGGGGCTCTCTGAGCAGACTGTCTGCAGCCTGCCTGTTTCAGCCACCCTGTCGCTGTTGCTTACCTGACAGAGATGGGCAATGCCTGAAGACCTGTCTTCCCTTCAGCCTCCAGCCTAGTCCCAGGACCTTTCTGCTGGGGGTCAGATGGTGTTCGCTGAAGGGTTGAGGACACGGAGGCTCACAGAGCTGAGATGACTTGCCCAAGGTCCCTCAAGAGTAAGTGGGGAAGCCAGGTTCCGACTCCGGCATCTGGGTCCGCGGCTTTTCCTGAGGCCCCCAGCACCCTCAGAGAACTTGAAGTCTGGGCAGGTTGGGAGGTGACTTTAGCTTGGTGTGAAGAATGGATTTGAGAATAGAAAATCAGAGACAAGCCCCAGGCAGGGAGGACAGTTAGAAGCCCTGGACAGAAACCAACTTAGTTAAAGCCGAGGCGGACAGGGCAGCAATGGGAATGGGGTTTGAGGCACCGTCAGGAATCCGGGAGGAAGGGAAAGGGGGCGTGTTGAGGCCCCAGTGGGCGTCGGAGGGATACCCCCGTTGGCAGCTACGCGAGTCTGAAGGTGGGACAGAGATCTGCGGAGAGACGTGTCTGGCTCCGGAGTGGACGAGTCCCCGAGTCCCCTGGAGAAGAGCAGAGGGCGGGAGCGAGCGGGGGCGCGCGGGGTGGGGCCACGCATCGCCCGCTCCCGCTGTGGGGGCTTCTCGGCCGCAGATCTGTGTGATTTGGATCGCAGGATTAAAACATTTAAAAGCTAGTTGCCAACATTTAAAAAAAGGACAAGTTTCCATAAAAACACTATGTGTGCGGGCCCTCCCTGGTGGTGCAGCGGGTTAAAGCACAGCACTGAGAATCTGAAGCCACTTCCGCATGAGTTCGATCCCCGCCTGCCCCGGAGGTGACCACATGGCACGGCAGACCTCTCCTGACCCGCCCGCTGCTCCCCTCAGCAGTGTATTTCGTCGATCTGCCTGTTTTGCTCCCCGCTCTGTCTCTGGTGAAGCTTCTCGTCACCCCTGAGCCTCTGGCCTGTACCCCAGTTCTGTATGCACAAGTAAATAAATAAATCTTTAAAAACAAAAAAAAAAAAACTGTGTGCCTTCACACCTTGGGTGAGCCAACTGCCTGGCGCCCCGACGTCAGGACAGCGCCCCGTTTGCTGGGCCAGTGCCCTGCTCGTCACAGCGGCCAGCTGTTCTTCCTTTTCAGTTGCTTTTTCTTTATGATTCCAAGGACCTCCTACTCTCTGCTGACCCCTGTGCGTTAGGCAAAGACTCACTTAAGTGGGGTCCATTTAATTGGGGTGCAGTAAGGGGAGGTCGCTGATATTTCTGGGTTGTCTTTGCATTGCCACGACTCCCCCTTGCGGCTTCAGGTCCCTGCATTTGCTGCTGGGTGACAGTGCCCAGTGGCTGTCTCGTTTTTAAAAAAAGATGTGTTTATGCACACAAGAGCTGGGGTGTAGGCCAGAGGTGCGGGGGTGGGGCTGAGAGGATTCACCAGAGAGGGGGAACAGAACAGGTGGGTCTACTGAAATCCACTGCTGAGGGGAGCAGTGGGGAGCCAGGAGAGGTCTGCTGGCCATGTGGGTCAGCTGGCTGGCTGGGGGTGGAGCTTGATAGCCCTTTGTCCTTCGATCCTATGCCACCATCTGCCTCTAATTTACAGATGTCCTAGGAGCAGTGATAACTCTCAGAGGTTTTTCTCATGTACCTGTGACTGGCCTCTTGCAGCAAAATCCTTTTGCCAACCCAGGCCGGAGTGCTCTGCTGGAAGATTCTTTGCATGGCTACACCGCTGCTCTCCTATCTAGAGCTCTCTCACAGCTGTTTGTCCTGACTCATAAAGTCATGTCTAGTGCAGCCAGAGGACTCTCTATTTGAAGAAGAAATAATCTGTAGAAATACCTGCAGGTCATAGGGCTCCATCCAGGTCAAATGGAACCATATTTTGCTCTTGGTACAAATCACTAGCTTTCTGGCCCACACCTTTGCGCAGAAACTTTCTTCCCTGTGAGGCAACCTCTCCAACCTCTCTGCCCTTGTTCACATCAGAGTTGACCCTCAAGGTCTGGCTGAAGTTCCTGTAACTGTCCCCATGCCCCGATCCCACCTGAGCCTTTACTTCCTGAACCTTCCGTGGCTCCAGCCTGCTTCTGTCTCCACCCTACCCAGCAGCCTCTGCTTCTGTTGAACTTGCTTCCTGTGCCTCCTCACCCCCAAACTCTTCCGAGCTCCGATGGCCATGTCACGCTGTCTTTTACCCTTGGTTCCCAGGACAGTGCCGGCCCAGCAGCTGATGTGGATGGACAGCGGAAGCTCATGTTTCCTGTAAAGGTGCCTGGAGTGTGTCCGAGTCCATCTCTCCCAATCTGTAAGTTCACTGACTGGTTCTTTCTCTGCACAGGCCCTGTGCTGATGGCCTTTTATTTTTCCAAATAGAAATAACTATTTTTTTTCTTTTTCTTTTTTTCAAAGATTTATTTATTTATTCATACAGAGCTGGGGTACAGACCAGAGTTGCAAGGGCGGTGAGAGGCTTTACCAGAGACAGAGTGGGGGGCAGAACAGGCAGATCAATGAAGTACACTGCTGAGGGGAGCAAAGGGCGGGTCAGGAGAGGTCTGCCTCGCCATGTGGTCACCTCCAGGGCAGGCGGGGATCGAACTCATGCGGAAGTGGCTTTCGATTCTTAGTGCTGCGCTTTAACCCGCTGCACCACCAGTGATGGCCTAGAAATAACTATTTTTATACATGTTTTCTAGTGCTTGTCTCATTAAAATGTTGAGTGTTACATAGTAGAAAGCAAGAATCACCCCCTCATCTGGGGGAAGGCATCCAGTGTTTTGGTGTACACATTCTTTTTTTAAAAAACAAGATTTATTTATGTATGCATACAGAACTGGGGTACAGGCTAGAGGTGCAGGGGTGGTGAGAAGATTCACCAGAGACAGAGTGGGGAGCAGAAGTGGCTGACTGAGGTACACTGCTGAGGGGAGCAGCGGGAGTGTCAGGAGAGGTCTCCTGCACCATGTGGGTCACCTCCGGGGCGGGGATTGAACTCATGCTGCAGTGGCTTTAGCTTCTTAGTGCTGTGCTGTAACCCGCTGCGCCACCAGGGAGGGCTCTGGTGTATATATTCTTAGAGTTTTTTTTTCCCTTTCTAAAGTCAGACATATTTTGTAAAGATCATCTTGCCATATATATATTGTATCAGAATTTTTTTGGACAAAGCATATTGTGCCTGCCTTTTCATGAGTCTGAAAGTAGCAGGGGCTGGTGGTTGAGAAAGTGGCTTTGCAGCACTAACCCGGAGGGTTAGTTACTGTCTCTGTTTCCCAGTCTCCCTCTGTAGCGTGAATCCAATGAACGTGATTCTTGCACAGGAGTCATGAGGCTTTAATGGGCTCAGACTCAGTACGAGGCGTCTCACTATCACCATTTTGGCGTTTCAGTGGCCCGCACACCTGTGGATGGCCAGCTGCTACCCTGGGACTCTCCCCGACCTATGATGTTTAGGTGAGCTGGACTTGTGACGCGTGTGAATCTCCAGTGGTGCAGCAAGCCCCCGGGACACATATCCTTGCTCACGTGTCTGATTTCTTCCCTCAGGACACGTCCCATAGTGTGACACGCATCCTGAAGTGTCCTGCGAAGGTGTCCTTTGACCTGTTGACCTGTTCCCATCTCATGGCACTCATTGTCCCCACAGGCTCCAAACGCTTGCTTTTCAGAGTTCCTCTTGATCACCTGTTGGTGCAGATGTTGGGTGCCTTCGCCATGGAAACGTTAGAGCCCCCCAGTGGGCCCATGGGCCTGATTGTCCTGGCGGAGGCCAGCTCTGGCCTTCAGTTGGCCAGGCTAGTGAGGGAGTCTGGTCAGGTGCACAGTTCCTGCTGGGGTTGGTGGGTGGCAGCAGCCTGCGGGCCATTGGGTGGCCCCAGAGTCCTGTCAACATGTGGGGGGCCCCCCGCGAGGGTGAGTTCTGGGCAGTTCTGCTTCCTCTTAGTTGGTATTGCCCATCCTTCCACAGCCTTCCTTTCCAGCGATCGTCTTTGTTGGTGACTCAGTGGCAGCTGCTCCTTGTGTTCCCCTGGGGATCTTGTTGTGCTCAGAACCCCAGAAGGAAAGCAGTGTTCAGTCACCCACATGGAGCCTTTGGGGTCTCTGGAGACGGCATCACACTCACTCATTAGGAATGACCGAGAGCAGTGGAATTTATGCTACGTTCAAAATATCATTTAGAGACTCTGCTTTTGAAAGCACTTACTGGACTTTCTCTCTGAAGACCAGGACTTCTGTAAATTTATTCTTAAATCCCTGTATATATTATATGCCCTGAGAAGTTTTCATTTCCTTCTTGGGACAGCAGACCAACCTAAAGCGAAATAATCAATATTCATTCAAGGCTTTCTTACATGAACTTAAGTTGCTCTTGAAATTGGATAATTTGGAAAAAGTATGTAGTTTGCGGATATTCTTCATAAATTACTGTTTGAATCAAGTGGAAGTTGTGTTATTTGGATTGCTTTGGATTATAGGATTTAAATACAAATACTTTTTCTTTTCTTTTCTTTCTTTTTTTGCTGGTGCACTAAATCCAATTACAGCAATATGACTGTGATATCTTAATTTAATTTAAGCAAAACCCTGGACCACAATTCTCATTAGTTAAGCAAAATGGAGATAGAGTTGGATTTCACCTTTCCTTATTATGCCTATGATTTCATTATTCTCAGATTTTATGGAAAATTGGTTTGGGATTGATGAACAGAGGTAAGACTACAAAACCAACATGTATTTGCATTTCTCCTGGACCATCCATGAATTTCTGCAGGACGGGAGCTTTGATCAGGAGAGGGGGCGGGCAGCTGGACCCCCCAGAGCGGGAAGCTGTGGCAGCTTCTCTTAAGTGCTTGCTTTTGTGTGTGTGGCTCTGGCACCAGGAATAGTAGTGACCAGCACAAACTCTGAGGAAACCACAGTCTTTAAATCCAACTTCCTGAATCGTGCTTTGCATTTCAACAGACGCTTAGCCTTGCTTTATTGTTCCTTGTTAGCAAATTTTGCTTGTCCATCACCAGAAATGAAATGACAGAATTCTTTTTTAAAAAGATGTATTTATTTAGGCATACAAGAACTGGGGTACAGGCCAGAGATGTGGGGGGCTGAGGAGGGTGAGAGCATTCTCCAGAGACAGAGTGGGGAGCAGAACAGGTAGATGGACTGAAACACTGCTGAGGGGAGCATTGAGGAGACAGCAGAGGTCTGCTGCGCCCTGTGGGTCACTCTCTGGCCGGGGATCGAACTTGTGCTGCAGGACTGCCCATAGCTTCACAGTGCTGCTCTTCATCCCTTGTGCCACCAGGGAGGCCCCTGACAGAATTCTCAAAGGGCAATGTTTGGGAAGATCCCCAGACCCTGCCAGCAGGATATAAATGATGCGTCATGTTCCTCTGAACTCTGAACTCCCTGAATGACCAGCCCCAGGTTGGGGGCCTGATGTCTCTTACCTGCTTGCTTCTGGCTCTGTGACTCACAAGTGGGGACAGTTTGATTCTCTGGAGACATTTTTGATGGCCTTAACCATAGAGGGCAGTGAGGAGAAGGGCTCCTGGCATCTTTGATGTAGAACCAGGATCCCAGGACGCAGCCTATATGACCGGATAGCTCCGTCACACAGGAATCACCCAGCCTGAAAATAGCGATATGCTGAAGCTGAGAAACTGGCCGCAGAAGCTTGCAAGGTCAGGACAGAGCTGGGCAGCTGCTGGCTGCCAAGAGCAGGCCCAAAGGTGCCATTTACGTGCTGGCTTTGTCACAGGTGAGAGATGGGCTCTGTCAGCCTGGCTGCTCCCACTTCCAATGTCCCAGTGCTGGTCAACTCAGGAGACTGACTAGTAGAAACTCACAGAGTGAATAGAGCCCTGCCTGCTCTATTAAGTTCCACTGACATAGGAGGGGCAGGCAGAGTGAACCATGTGGGCCACGGAGCTCACCTGCCCTGAAATCTCTGGGAGGTGTTGCAGGGGGCAACAAGGGAAGGCTTTGGAGGGTCGTTCTGATGAGGAAAGGATGCTTCAAGTGCCATTTAAGATGTTTCACATCAGGGCTGGAGAGGCAGCTTCTTGGAGAAAAGCTCTTTAGAAAGTGCTGGATGGGGTCCTCCCTGGTGGAGCAGTGGGTTGGAGCGCTGCAATGTGAAGTCAATCCAAGCCATGGCTGCTTCAGTGCAAGTTCGATCCCTGGACAGGGAGCTGACCCACATGGTGCGGCAGACCTCTCCTGTCTCCCTCTGCTCCCCTCAGCAGTGTACTTCCTCGATCTGCCTCTTCTGCTCCCCACTCTGTCTCTGGGGAATCCTCTTACCGCCTCACACCTCTGGCTTATACCCCAGTTCTGTAAGCATAAAGAAATAAATCTTAAAAAAAAAATGTGCTGGATGGATGTTGGAACCAACTTGGGTCATTGACACTTTCTCTTCTGTTTCCATTGCCACCCACCTGCATTTTCTTATCCACATCAATTCTATTAATTAATTTACTCTTTAGTCGTGTCGACTTGGAAGAGAGGAATTGGTTCAATAAAAATGTGTCAAGCACCACTGTGTAACAGGGATAATTAATATGAAGATGGATGGTGGACTCTATCCCTAGCTGGGGGCTTTCTCGGCCTCGTGGGCGGCTCCGAGGTGACAGCGTCTCAGAGCCTGTGGTGAGGTGGCCAGCGGTGGGCTCCGCACTCCAGGCGCCCGCAAGGTTGTGGGCAAAGCTGCGGTGTCAGAGTTTCTCTCAGCGCTGACTGCACAGTGAATTTTGGGACAGCAGCTTTACTGTGACTTGGGAGAGACTCACTCCTCTGATACTGAGCCCTGAAGCAGGACGCGTGAAGTCACTATCACACCCCTTGATTTTCCTTGGTAGGTGCAAGAGCTGCTGTCAGTCAGGCCTGCGGCTGGCATGGGCCCCACCTGGCTCTTCTCTTTGCCCTCTTCCCTGCAGTTAGGGGCAGTCAGTCGTGCAGGTGGCAGTCAGGCCGCAGGACACACAGCCAGGCTGGAGGGATGCCCAGGGAGGCCGAGGAGGCCGCCGCCCTGGCTGTTGAGAGGAGAGGCGCAGGTCACCCGTGGAGAGAGGTCTTTTTACCTGGATCCTGTGGCATCACTCTGAGAAGTCAACCTGCCCGAGCTTGACTCATGCCACACACCCTCCTCTCTTCTTTTGAACACACCCACGGATGACAGAAATTTAGAGGAAAGGGGCATTTGGGAGGGTGGTAAGGCAGGCGGAGGAGAGGGTGTCTAAAGGGACCAGTCTTCTTCCCCCAAACCTGCTGCAGAGGGTGCTGTCTGGCCCCTCTTCCCAGCCCCCCTCCCAATTCCCTCCAGACACTAAGAGTGGAACTGAGTTTCCATTCTAACTGAATTCTGCAGCCCTGCCCAGTTTGACTCTGCCTGGCATACAGCAGGTGTGGGGTTTTGAGCGACCTGCCGTCGCACCCCCTAAAATGCGAAGCAGCACAAGGTGCTACCCACATAGAGCACAGAGGTGACCCGTGGGAAACTCCTAGGGGGGTGTGGGAGTCTCCGTGCTCAGAAAATGCAAGTTGCCATTCTGTGTGCAGAGATCGTTCTTCAAATGTGAATGCCCTAAAGGAGGTGGCTGGTATAACATTCCCCCCACCCCAGTCCAGGTTTCCCCCCCAAATTCAGGATGGTGGCAAGGCATGGGGATTCTGCTTTGGGGTGGAAAGCGAGCCAAGGGGACAGCTTGATGTTCTGGGACGACGCTGGCTGGGGATCCATTGCTCCCTGAAAAGAAGAAGAAGATGCTTGGGCTAACCTCAGCCTGGCTTCCTGTTGAGTGCCAAGAGCCTAACTACTTTGTTCATTTTGTTCTCCAGTAATTAAGAGAGTGATATCAAGGCTGTTTGCAGTTAATTAATTATCTCCCAGCCAGATTAATTTTACTTTCCTCTAAAGGGAGCTACATTTGGAAAGGCATTTCATAGGGCAAAGGACTAGTGAACTAAACCGCCTGTTAAAAGGATTTAGCATTTGTGTTTTTTTTTTTTTTTTTTGGAAAGCAGAGAGCTGAGTCTGACCCAAAGATTCTCCTGGGAGGAACAGGGGGAGGTAGGAGGGGAGCTGGGCAGGTGAGGAGGAAAGGGAGGAGGGTTTTAACTCCTGTACTGATTCTATTTATTCCTTTTGAGATTTCCCTCATGTGTCTCTCAAGAGTCCTATGCTAGAAGTTCAATTCTGGATCTTCCCTTATTATCAGCTGTAGTAGAAGTGGAAATTAACGGAAGGATCATTGGTGGACCAGCTTGAAAACTGCTTTCCTCCCTCTCCCTCTCCCTCACCACCCCCCCATTGCTTATGTATTTGGTTTTGGGGTCTGTGAACTCCTGGGGGCATAAGGAGGGGGCAGGTTCTGTATCTTGTTTGTACTGTCAAATTCTGGGGTAAAGCCTGGTGATCCCACCTTGGAGAATTCGTGTTTAGTGAGTGCCTCAGCTGGAAGTCCTTCTCTTCCTTCCTGAGCCTCAGAATCAATCTTGTGTCTCTCCCCCTCCCTGTCTGCCCCACTCCCGCAAAGCTTGGCGCTGGCATTGATTGGGAAACATGAAAATCAATGAATGGATGCTGAGATACTCGCATAAATCTAGGGGAATGCATCACCAAGAGACAAGGCTTATTGTTGGGAATTGAAAACTTTTTGCCTTTTAAAAGATTCTACAGGGAGGAGGAGAAAAAGAAATTCAGAATAAGAATGTGAAATGTGTCCTTTTGTTTGATATGAACTCAAGGTGTCCTTCCCCCGCCCCAGCCAACTTAGGTTAATCAGTCTCTTATCTGGTCCCTGAGGCCATTTCTGAGCTGTGAGCTGCAACACGGGGAGTTGAACTTGGAGACCTCTGGCTTCAAGGGCGAGCAGCGGTGTCATTTCTGTGAGTGTGACCCTCAGAACCCCGCCTGTATGTGGAGGACAGTTTGTGTCCGTGGAGGCTTATAGGTCCATCCTGGATGGCTGTGTCAGGACACAGTGGCTTCCAGAAGAACCGTGTGGGTGGGGAGAGATCACCTTCCTAATTCTGGGGGCGCTCTCATTTTTCAAAGCTTTGTTGGTTTTGGGGTCAGTGGAGATGCCCCAGCTCTTGGGGGGAGTTTGGGGTCAGTGAAGAGCAACAGAGTATATGGCTCTCTCTGTCTACCAGATAAGCTCTCCTGTTCTCTTTTTCTCTCCGCTAGGCTTAATTTCGTTTCCTTACATTCAGAGGAAGAGAGCATCTAAGACGATAACATCGGGACTGCTGGCCACCAGGTGAGAGCAGAAGCGAGCTGGTGGCCACCACAACCTGCAGGTGCTTGTGTCGCAAGGGTGGACACTGCTTACTGCCCCCAGCCCCCTTCTGCTCCTGTAACTCTGGATAAATACCCTGCCCTCGGCCCAAGAGCAGGACGGTAGTCTTTCCTGCACTGGTCTGCCTGCCTCAATTTGCCCACAAATTAAACTAAACCACCCCCTTCTCAAACTCTGTTTCCTTCTGTTGGCCGAGGGAACCAAGGCCAACATTCTGGTAACACTGGTGTCCACTGCCATAAAGATCTGAAGTCCTTCTGCCTGGAGCTCCATGATGCCTCCCCACTCACAATGTGACCCACAGGAGCCCCCTTGTCCCCCGGGAACAAGATGAGGCTGTGAGGCAGGCAGGAACTCATCAGCCACTTGTGCTGAGTCTGAGTTGACAGAGTCTTGGGCGTGTCTCTTCTTGGAGCTACAGGAAATTGATGGATGTTTTTTCTGCAGGAGAGTGATTTCCCAGTGACTTGGGCGGGCACAACCAGAGAGCAGGAATCTTCTCTTGTTGGCCACTAAATGCCTATGCGCACCACACATCCTTCTAGAAGATGGGTGGAGCTTCTTGGTTGACCATGGACATTGCACCCAGCAGGATGAAGGCAGAGTGCGTGACATCAACACCACAAGGGTAAGAGCTGCCTCTCCAACCTTTTCTCTGGAACCTTATGTGTCAAAGGAAGGCAGAACCAGCCTTACAGTGTAGTGACAGAAATGAAGGGGGAAAAATCCCCCGGGCAGCTGGGCTGATGAGTAAAGGAGAAAACGCCTGGGATGTGGGGAGGTTGCAGGCCAACTCTGGAAGATTCTTAGCCCACACTGCCCATCACCCACTCTCCACTTGACATCTGTAGTTTAGATTGGGGGAGTAAGGCCATATACAGTTAATGTGCCAGCTCCCATGGGCCCCTACTCAAGTGCATCTGCCTTCCATGGTGCTGTGGTACTGGGCTCGGAATCACATGGGGTCGTATTGGAAGAGCCTGAGCTGAGACATGTTTTTGTTAGAGCCACATCATGTTGCAAACATGGTGGCTCACTTCACATGAGACAAGCTCTTCCACACTAGAGTTGGAGTTTCCAGGTACTTCTGGAACACCTGAGTTATGTCTGTTCCCTCATAGGGCACCACCAGCCTCCGCCATCAAGAGCAGCTTTTCACTGCAGACCCAGCTACATCCACTTCATTTGTCTAATATACTGTTTGACCGTTTTGCTCCTTCTGCTAGCTCTTTGTCATTTTGCTCGTGTTTTGCTCCTTCTGCTAGCTCTTTGTCAAAAACGTGAAGCCTAGGTTATTTCTTCCATATCAAAGTATCTTTCCCTCTACTACAGTAGAAATTAACAGAAGGGCGGGGTCTCCTGGTGGGAATGACTCCAGAAGGAGCTTCTGGATGCCCAGGGAATGTTGATTCTGGAAACAGGGACCCAGCTCCAGAAGGCTTTTTGAAGATACCTGTCTCTGCACGGTGACTCAAGGCAGGACCTTCCAGAGGTCTCATGAACAGTAACTTGTTTCTTAGGATTGCAATACTTTAGCTCCTGTAAAAATGCCTTGATTTTTTAGACCTGTGTCAAGGATCACCAGCATCTCCATTTAAAAAAAAAAAAAGGTTTATTTTATTTATTCATGCATGCAAGAGCTGGGGTATAGGCCAGAGTTGTGTATGTGGGTGGGTGGGGTGAGGTGAGAGGACTCACCAGAGACAGAGTGGGGAGCAGAACAGGCATATCTACTGAAACACACTGCTGAGGGGAGCAGCGGGCAAGACAGGTGATGTCTGCTGAGCCATGTGGGTCACCTCCCTGGCCAGGGATCAAACTTACACTGCAGTAACTGCAGACAGTTTCATAGTGCTGAGACTTAACCCCTTGCGTCACCAGGGAGGCCAGTATCGCCATTTTAAATCTCCACAGAGCGTGGACTACACAAGCCATTGAAATACCCTCCTACTCTCTAGTCTGCTCTGGGTCAACAAGTGACTTTTTCAGTTGTCTTAAATTTTTTATTTTTTAGTTGTCTTAATTTTTTAACTGAGGTAACATTGGTTTGTAACACTGTAGATGGTTTAGGAGTATGTGTTCACACTTCTTCAGGGTGGGGGGGTACTTCGTCTCTGCGTGAGCATTGAGGGTAGATGTTTAATTATTTACATTTGCTCGGCTTTACTAGGAATAGTCTTACATGAAATGGCCAGAAATAGAGGTTAGTGTGATCTTCCCTTTTAAACAAATTATTTTTATTTATAGAATGGAATAGAAAAGCTTTTTGAAGAATGTACCACAGATAAAGCAACATTAATGCTCAACAATGAGCTTTTCCCACGTTGACTAATGCAGATTTTGGACAAGCAGGGACGGGAAAGAAATCTGGGTTTTCATTTACTTTGGTGAAACTGATTTTCAAGGGGTGATTCTGCCCAATGAAAAACTGAATTGTATTCATCCTACTTTTGTTATTTTTCCGAGCAAGGCGAGTGCATTTTCAAAGCCACTCACGCGTGTGTGCGTGTGTATGCGGGAGACTTTCTTGAGAGTATTTTTTAAGTGAGTTTGAGAGTAGGAAGCAGAGAGAGGTAAGAGGTTAATGGTTTTTAACGGCTTTATGGAGAGAAATGGATCAATGTAGTTTTTTCTTTCAAGCTTCCAGTGAATATCTCGGATTTTTGGCCTCTTTGTCTTCCTTTTCAATCTCACAAACACCAGGAAGCACAAGGTGGTCAAATATAGTCTCTCCCTGTTTCTGCCATGGGTCATTTGGCTTGATGTCAGCAGGGAGATGGATAGAGGCAGCCTAAGCAATTTCTGAGGAGGAGCATAAAAATAGCAGTTGATTTTTCTATCTCAGCCTTTTGTACCCACGGCTGTGCCCAACTGGAGACCCCGTGCACCTTCTGCATGCTTAGTACCAAACCCTCAACCGTCGGACAGCTGCATCTTGTCTAGCCCCCCCGATAAACTGAGGATCACGAGACAGCAAGTCACACCGACTCTATATGCATATAAAAATTGTGTTTGTACTATATTGGAGTCTAGTAAGTGTGTACTATTAGCATTATGTGGGAGAACAATGGGCACATTTAATGAATTAAAAAATACTTGATTGTTAGAAATTGTCTTTTGAGCCTTTGATGAGTTCTCCCTTTGTGCTGGTGGAGGGTCTCGCCTGGATGGTGGAGGCTGAAGTCTTAAATAAGACTTAAATGTCTTAAAATCAGACAGCAGTGAAATTCGCTACATTGAGTGGTTCTTCCTGTCATGAGAGAATTGCGTCTGGCCTGTGATGCGATTTGACAGTGTTTCACCCACAGAACTGATTTCAAAAGTGGGCTCCATCTTGCCACACACTGATGCTTTTGAACCAGCTAGGTTTAGTTCATCGTCCCTGCCCTTTCCACAGTGTTCACAGCCTCTAGACCAGGAGTGGATTCCAGCTCAAGAAACTCTTCCCTTGTTAACATTTGAGCATGAGATTTTGGCATTTCAGCCCCATCTTCAGACTCCGCTGCTAATTCTCTTGCTGTTTCCACTACATCTGCAGTTACTACCCCCCCCCCCCGCCCCCGGAAGTCGTGAACCCCTTGCATTGTTCTCCTTGGGATAATTCATGCAGGAAGGCAGGATAAATGTTGATTTTTCTGTTTCTCATATTCCGGAATAGTGAGCTGGCATGCTTGCACCTTCCAAAGGTCACCGATGTATGCTTTCCTCTCTTATTTAAAAAGATGACTAAGAACTCAGACAGTTTAACATACCCGATGTGTTCCAATGCGTTGGAGATTTGTTTTCCTTTTTGATGCACGCATGGCCCATGCTTGACTAGTGGGTGTCTCCTGTTTTGATGCTGCGTGCCCTTGACTCCCTGCCTGTCTGAGGTCCTGCTTTCCTTGTTGCCAGATAGAACAACGTACTCCTGGCTTATCGCTTACGTTGTTGCTCCAGATCCGGCATCAGCTATGGCTCCAAGAACTGTTGTTCTGCTTAGTGCGATTGATATTTTGATGCCTCCATCTGCACACTGAGAATGCTCCCTGAGTGGTGTCTTCGGTGGGGCTCCCCAGAGGAAGTGGACTGAGACAGAGGTCCATGGGCAGGGAGTTTGTGGGGGTGCCCTGCGGATCAGCGCCTGTGGGAAGTGAAGGAAGATCACCGACTCTGACGAGGTTGTAGCAGACCCCTCAGCTAACCCTGTGGGCAGCTCTGGGCCTGGGCCACTAATGTGAGGAAGGGGTGCTGGGTCTTTGTCGGCCTGTCATAGATAAGTCACTGCCTGGGACCTGGCCTGGGGAGATACTGGGATCTTCGGTGAGACCGTCTTTGGCTGCTGGTGATTCCCCAAGAGGGATTTAGCTGAGAACACTTACCTGTTCGCACTCCCGGCAGGTGTGAGGATGAGCACCTCTGTCCTGAAGGGGATACTCTCTAGCAACCACAGTTGGTGGCAATTTTTTTGTTCTAAGACTCACTCTTCAGTGGAAGTAAAGTCTCCTTTTAACAAAAAGGAGCAGTTTATACTGATGCTTCCATTTCACGTTCAGGATCTCTGGGTTTCTTTCTTTTTCTCTTTGATATTTGTTTTCTTTTATTTTGTACCCTTAGCCTTCCAGGCTCCTAAGAGCTTTACCATCATCCTTTGTTTGCTTTACCCTCTGCTGTGTGTGGATGAGTTTAAAGTTTCAGTACAGTTACATCATGAAGAACAAAAATATTTTATGATTTCTACAGTTTATTTGTCCTCGGGTATATACACTAGGGATGAACAGTCAAATTATTATGTTCTAAAAAACCTCGAGATAATTTACCTCTCTGAGATTAACGAGCAACTTAATATATAATAAGTGCAATTTTAGGGACTGTCTTTACATTCTTATTTAATTTTGTTTCATTACTATGATTCATGTTATCTGTGAGACACTTGTTTTCTAAGTCCAGCTTCCAATCCGAGCCCCTCACTCTAGTCCCTGTCTCCTCTTACTCATCTTTGGTTTATCCTTCCACAAGGTCTTTTTCTTTAGTTGTGTGCGTGTGTGTTTGCTGTGCAGGCACGGCCATATTTTCCTCACCTCACACGTGCATCTGAGCAATGATGTCGGTGCAGGCACGCTTGCACAAACATGCGTCTGCGGAGAAGAGAGAGAGAGAGAGGCCCGCTTACTGGGCCAATCCTTTTTCGATGAATTTTTGGACTGTTTCCAGTTATGCAGGTATCTTCAAGTTTGGCCTGTCTCTCTGGGAGAGGCTTCCAGAAGGGGTCAAAGGCACACAACTATTCAGTTTTGCTGGGTCTCACCCGATCCTCCTCCCAAACGGTTCTCTTTCCTTTGGCATTGTGTCGGGGTGTCTTTCCTTCCCCTCTCTTCTCAGAGCCCCAAGACAAGAGACCCCTGCTTTGATGATAGGTGTTGCCTTTGTGACTAGACTTCACGGAGTGACAGAAAGGAGGACAGACGGCCCGGGGCGGGGGGTGGGGGGGTTCTCAATGCTCTTTAGACAAGCGGCTGCAGGTCGAGGGGGGCCGGGCTCCATGCTGGTGGCCAGCCCAGGTAGGTGGTGTCCCTCATGGCGGTTTCCGCTGGCCACGGAGATGAGGAATAACCCAGCAGGCCTAGCGGGCATTGTGACCCACCGCGAGCTACACGAGCCGGCGGGGCGTTGGCTCGGCTTTACCCGTGAGCATGAGCTCTCTTTCAGCAGCTTGAGGCTTCGTGAATGTCTGGACCAAACCAGGAGCTCTGACCGAGGCCCCTCGCAGAGATGCGCCTCCCTGAACACTGGCGGCAGCAGCCAAGGAAAACCAAGTCTCGGAAGGGGACTGCAAGTCCGTCCCAGGGCACCTCAGACCATGGAGAGTCTTGTGTCTTGAAGACCTCCAGCGGTGGCCACTGGAGAGCGAGCGCCTCGTGTTCCTGAGCAGCGAGGCCCCTTGGGTGGACGGCAGATGGCTGCACGTCGAGGTTGTGTCCTCTGCTTTGTCCGCTCAGAGGTGGAGTCTCTTGTCTTGCTGACAGCCTCGGCCAGAAATTCCTTCCTGACGATTGCCTCTACTGGTGTTTTCGTGGTCACCCCACAGGCACAGTAGAAAGCTCCTGTCCACTGCCCTTGCCCTGCCCTTCCTGTCCACCCAGGCACTCAACCCTTGGTGAGTTCCTTGTGTTTGTCTCAAAGTGTCCACTGTGAGGCCCGGCCCTCTGGCCTCCTCCTTCCTGTCACAGCCCTGTCTGGTGCTCCCCCCCACCTGCACTCAGCCACAGTGGGGTCAGGGGCCCCTGAAAGTCGCGGCCACAGATACAACCCCACGCCTCAGAGGTCACCATCACTTAGTGGTCTTGCCTTTAGCACGAAGTCTACACTCTGCTGGATGGAGCTAGGAGGGTCGCCGCCTTCTGGTGCCTCCTGTCGGGAGTGCTTCTTCTCTGGGCGCCCTTTTCCCTGGGTTAGTCAGCGCTGCTTGAACCTTGAACCTTTGAACTGCATGCAACCCCGGTGGGAAGTTTCCAGACCGGTCATTGCTCTTTTCTCAATAACCCGAAGGTGCCTTTCCTCACTTCTGTCGAACCCCTGACCTCACTGGATTGCTGGATTGTAACAAGAGAGCAAACAGGAGGGGATATTTATAGTGGTGGTATTGTGGGGTTACTGCACCTCGGTTTAAATCCTGGCTCGACCACGTACCTAGCATGTCATCTTGGATAGATCAACCTTCTTAAACATCTACTTTATAGTGCTGCCTGAGGAAATGACAGGGTGTGCTCAAGGCCGCTCATAGCACTCGGTGGGAGCTCGTTGTGGGACAGCCTCTTTTACTGGTATCATCGACTTCTAAGGAAGCATCATTGTATTGGGCGGTGGTCATGTCTGTGCCTTTCTGTCTGAGAAGGATCTGGCATGTTCTGGTCAGTGTCAGGGCTGACCAGGCTCTATGGTCCAGGTTGGTGTGGACTTAGGCGGGCGGCATGGAGGCTGTGCACACAGACGGGAGACTGGTGGTGAGGGAGGGGGAAGGCAGAGAGGTGTGTTTGTGTCAGAAAACTGATAGTGCAATTAACTTGAAAAGGTTTCTTCCAGTCGGCTTCTTCCTACGTGGATGTACCTGAAACACCATCCATGCATGTAACTGTATCTTTAAGATAAGGGCACTTACCTTGATTGTCCGGATGCAAACACAGGGAGTAGGGACATGGGGAGCGTGAGAGGAGCCCTACATCTTTTGTGGGAGCTGAGCCGAGCCCCCTGTCATGTGCGGGTTGGGAGAGAGGTCCAGAGCAGCGGCGACGGTTGTTCTGGGGGTGCATGACGAGCCTTAGGGACAGGGAGAGAAGAACCATGAGCTGGGGGGCAACCTGACATGTGGGAGGTCTCGTGGCAGAGGCTGGAGATGCTCGCACCGTGTAAGTGACCCAAATTTTGTCATTTTGGGGGTGGAGGTAAATTGGGGATGTTTAGTAAGTAGAAAAAGAGGGACTAGGGTTCGTTAATATCACCTCATAGGCTTTTCTCTTTTTCTAAAAATTGCAGCTAACCCCAGTTTTAAAAGCCGGTGAAGTAATAGTGAATTGTTCATTGATACGGAATGTTACGCAAGTTTCAGGTGTACGGTGTCCTAACTTAAATTTCCATAGACTACCTTATACTCATCACCAGAAGTCTAGTTCCCATCTGTCACCATATAGCTGAGCTCTTTTATTTGAGGTACCTACTCTTTCCCCCACTTCTGAAAACCACTAGTGTGCTCTTCCAGCTTAAGAGTTGTCGTGTTCTCTAGTTTGTTTCATTGTCTTCCTCATAGGCAGGACACCGTCGGTGTTTGGGTGCGAGTCTTTCTGTCTGGATCACTCCACTGAGCACACGGTGGACCCCAGGGGTTCCAGCCTCAGTGCTGCCCAAGGCAGGGTCTCCCCTTTCTTTTCCAGAACTGAGCAGGCTCCTTCTCTGCGCGTGTGCTGATTTTCCTCATCCCGCCCTTTGCCCACAGCTCTTGGGTTGTCCCGGCTCCCGGCTGCTGTGAATGATGCCGAGACAAGCAGGTGGCTCAGATGCCTCTTAACTTTTATGTTGCTGGTGCAGTCTTGGCACAGAAACCCAGCAGTGGGCTTGCTGGACCCATGGAATTTCTCTTTTATATTTCGAGGCCCCTACAGCTTTCTCACGGCTGCACCAATACACATTCCCGGCAGCCGTGTGCAAGGACTCAATCCCAGACAAAAAACCGGCTTTGAATTGATTTTCTCGAAGTCACGATGTGCGAGAGTGTATTCCTTTTAGTCCACTTCCTTTTGCTTTTAGTGTAGCCGCCATCCGGGCGCAGCGGTCGGAACCAGACTGACGCGCGGGCGCGGGGCGGGGCTAACGCTGCTGTCCTGTGCTGGTTTCAGGTGCGGTGCCACCGTCTTAGTCTCCCTGCCCGGCCAGCTCTCCGCCTCCCGTCTCCACCATGGTGTTTGGTGAGTTTTTCCATCGCCCTGGACAAGACGAGGAACTTGTCAACTTGAACGTGGGGGGCTTTAAGCAGTCTGTGGACCAGAGCACCCTGCTGCGGTTTCCTCACACCAGGCTGGGGAAGCTGCTCACCTGCCACTCGGAGGAGGCCATCCTGGAGCTGTGCGATGACTACAGCGTGGCCGACAAGGAGTACTACTTTGACCGGAACCCGTCCTTGTTCAGATACGTGCTGAACTTCTACTACACCGGGAAGCTGCACGTCATGGAGGAGCTCTGCGTGTTTTCCTTCTGCCAGGAGATCGAGTACTGGGGCATCAACGAGCTCTTCATCGACTCCTGCTGCAGCAACCGCTACCAGGAGCGCAAGGAGGAGAGCCACGACAGGGGCTGGGAGCAGAAAAGCAACGAGGTGAGCTCCGACTCCTCCTTCGAAGAGTCGTCTGTGTTCGAGAAGGAGCTGGAGAAGTTTGACAAGCTGCGATGCGGCCGGCTCCGAAAGAAGATCTGGATTCTCATGGAGAACCCGGGGTACTGCCTGTCCGCCAAGTTCATCGCCATCTCCTCCCTGAGCGTGGTGCTGGCCTCCATCGTGGCCATGTGCGTTCACAGCATGGCGGAGTTCCAGAACGAGGACGGCGAGGTGGACGACCCGGTGCTGGAGGGCGTGGAGATCGCGTGCGTCACCTGGTTCACGGGCGAGCTTGCCATCCGGCTGTTTGCGGCTCCCTGTCAGAAGAAATTCTGGAAGAACCCTCTGAACATCATCGACTTTGTCTCCATCATCCCCTTCTACGCCACGCTGGCTGTCGACACCCAGGAGGAGGACAACGACGGCATTGAGAACATGGGCAAGGTGGTGCAGATCCTGCGGCTTATGAGAATTTTCCGGATCCTCAAGCTGGCCCGGCACTCGGTGGGACTCCGCTCTCTCGGGGCCACGCTGAGGCACAGCTATCATGAAGTGGGGTTGCTGCTTCTCTTCCTGTCGGTGGGCGTCTCCATCTTCTCCGTGCTCATCTACTCCGTGGAGAAAGATGACCACACGTCCAGCCTCACCAGCATCCCTGTCTGCTGGTGGTGGGCCACCATCAGCATGACCACCGTGGGCTATGGGGACACTCACCCCGTCACCTTGGCCGGGAAGCTCATCGCCAGCACGTGCATTATCTGCGGCATCCTGGTGGTGGCCCTTCCCATCACCATCATCTTCAACAAGTTCTCCAAGTACTACCAGAAGCAGAAGGACATCGACGTGGACCAGTGTAGCGAGGACGCCCCGGAGAAGTGTCACGAGCTCCCTTACTTTAACATTCGGGACATTTACGCCCAGCGGATGCACGCCTTCCTCACCAGTCTGTCTTCTGTGGGAATCGTGGTGAGCGATCCCGAGTCCACGGATGCTTCCAGCATCGAAGACCACGACGATGCTCACAACACGGTCTCCTTGGAGAACTGCACAGCAAAATGAGCAGAAACGTCCGTGCCTGTATCTCATGTCCCCTCCCGATGTTAGGTTAACACAGCTTTAGAAACCTCAATGGGTTCGTTCAGATCATTTAATTCTCAGGGTGTACTTTCAGCCATAGTTGGACACTCATTACTCCAACATGAGAGAATTGTCTTTATTTTTCTCAGAGAGGTGAATCAATTGCCTTGTTCTGAAATTTATTTTTTACAAGAGAGAGTTATAATATGATTTTGGAAAAAAAAAAAAGAAGTATGGTATGGGGCGGGGTTTGTGGCGTTGGCTTATGTTTCATTCTATGTTTGTCATTTACTCACATTGAGCTAACTAATTACTGACAAGTAGAATCAAAGGCCCAGCTGACTGGAGACTACATGCATGTAAGATCCGCAAAATGAGACAACGCATGTAAATCCATGTTCACGTTCTAGACATGGAAATTAGGAGCCTAATAAACTGCCTCATGGCTTCGTTGTATGTTTTTTATGTTGAGTCTGTACATTGCAAAATTGTCTCAGAATTGCCCTTTCTGGAGCATTGAGGGTCTTTGTTGTATGTAATGATTCTTTTAAAAAAGATTTTATTTATGATTTGCATAGAATAACTGGGGTACAGGCCAGAGGTGCTGGGGGTGGGGGTGAGAGCATTCACCAGAGACAGAGTGGGGAGCAGAACAGGCAGATCGAAGAAGTACACTGCTGAGAGGAGCAGCAAGCGGGTCAGGAGAGGTCTGCTGCGCCATGTGGGTCTGCTCTCTGGCGGGGGATTGAACTCAAGCTGTTGTGCTAATAGTACTGGGAGGCCCTTTGCTATCTGTTTTTGAACTTTGCATGTATTGGAATGTTGGAAAAAGTCATGACATTTTTTCTGTGTTTTTGATTGCAAAATGTGGCTGCCTTTTCCAACAACCTAATAGTTCTGGTTCTTTCGTTCAGCCAAGTTGGTGGTGGTTGGCTGATCAGCAGTGTCAGCTGACTCACCTGCACACATTTAGGGCATGCTCAGGTTGGCACAGAGGGGTGAGAGTGTGCCCTTATGGCTATGTTTCCTGCTTCTATTTGGAACTTTATAGTTTTCATTGAGAAGATAAAACCTCGCCGCCTGATGATCATGCAGCACAGACCAAACCTGCCCTGTCCCAGGCAGCACCAGTCAGTGAATGGAGGAGAGGAGACGTGTACAGATGCGCAGATGCCATCCACTGTGGCCAGAGGAGTGAAGTTTAAATCGCTGAAAAGCACTCTGCTAGCAGCCATAAAATGAGCCGGCATTTTAAAACAGCCCTGAGGACTGTAGTGTCTCCATTGCATGCAGAAGAAGCCACATGTACACATTTTCAGGGAAGTAGCAGAGAATTTGGGGCTCTGCAGAGAGAATGTGGCTCGAGTTTTGATTTTGGAGATGTCCAGGCTCTCACGCCTGTCCCCGGCCTGGGCTGTGTTCTGAGGGATGTTGAGTGGAAGAGTCACATCCATCCATCACCCCACCTGGTATGTTTGTAGAGACATTCCGTGAGAGACGTGGCTGCTGAGGTTATCTGGTGCAGGGGAGGAGACGCCTCACCCCCTAGCGTTGCTGACTTCTGACTTAACTGGACAGGGTTTAGAGATACTTTCAGGTCTGGAGATTTATTCTCTGTGTATGTGTCATCCAAGCCGAGTTAAACAAAGTTCCCACCCCAGTGCCTTGGACCTTGGGGTAAATATACATACTGGAAGTGTGACCTTAGACTTTGAGAATGATGATGATGACGATATTAGAAAAAGCTTTCCTAATTAGCAAGAGGGATGTACGACTGGGTATAGAGTGATGATAATGTAGATGTAACAGCAGCGGCAGCCATCCAGATCACCAAAGCCACCCTGCCAGAGCATTTCCTGGACAACCTCATTTATTCCTTAGCAGTAAGAGTTTATGGCCGTCTCCCTTTTAAGATGAGGAAACCGCAGAGCACAGGAAAAGTGGCTTATTTTTAAGTCCACACTCAGGAAAGAATCACCGATTTGCCTCCGGCTTTGCTGTATTTGGGGGTGCTGGGAGAGACAGGGAGATCGTACTGTCGGTCTGGGGTGCTGCCAGAAGCGAAAGGGGATGGTGCTGGCACGGGCGCCTTCTTCTCCCTGACCCCAGGCGGGCACCTTTGTTTACAGTTTTCCAGACTGCTTGGGCAGCTGGGGCGGGCCCTGAAGGGCCTTCCTAGAAGACCTTAGCGTAGACAGGCTGGA